TACGCTAGCACCTAGAACAGACTCGACCGCTAGGACCACCGCGCGGAACGCCGCGAGGCCGAGGGACAGGGCGGCTGCGCAGAACGCGACGGCCAGGCCGAGACGACCGCAGGTCGCCGACTACGACTATTACGAGGACGAGGAGGAGCCGGTGGTGGGCAGGTCCACGTACAACGGCAAGCTCTTCCTAACGAGCAAGGGTAGCATCCGGTGCCTGGACCAGGGCAACTTCCCGCATCCGTACTCCTGCCGGAAGTTCATCACCTGCGCGAGGATGGTGAACGGAATGGTGGTCGGCGCCGAGTACACCTGCCCCGACAAGCTCTCCTTTGACCCCGTCGGCGGCATCTGCAACTGGTCCGCCGGCCTCGGGTGCAAGGAGTAAACCTATGCTTCGGCAATGGCAATGTCGTTACCAGTTGGGTTGTACAATGTTACCAATTAGGTTCTACAATGTTACCAATTGGATTGTACAATGTCGATACCAATTGGATTCTACAATGTTACCAATTGGATTGTATACTGTCGTTATCAATTAGGTTGTATAATGTCGTTACCAATTGGATTGTACAATGTTGATACCAATGAGGTTCTACAATGTCGTTACCAATTAGGTCCTACAATGTTACCAATTAGGTTTCACCTACGGTGCGATTATTGCCAGTTGACGAAGCAAGGTATAACATACCTTTGTAGAAAGGTATAAATATCTGTATAGGCAGCCCTCTCATGACACGGTTTCGCTCTAAAATGAAGAGACAATTGCGAGAACCTTTGTATAACACTGTACTTGTACAGCATTAGATAATATGATTGTTTAACATATTTAACACTACAACTACCGAGCAGTTACACCTTTCGAAGTTCCTCTGTAGAAAGTCTAAGAGCGTATCTATTCAAATTGATCCAGAATTCAATTTGTGCATTGCTAAATCAATGTTTTCAACAATTTCTCAGAGAAGTCTGAAGATTTGTCAAAGAAATCTTTTCAATCATTACAAAAAGAAGAGGAATGGTCATTTCGACACGGTAGTTTTAGTGTTAATTAAATTATCTTGTACACGGTTTCAGTTTCTAGGAACCTACCGTGTTACAGGAGGGTTACCTGTACTATTTGATCAACGGATCGTAGAGATCGCGAACAGGGGACGAGGAGGAACGTGGTAATGGGTGTCCAACGTGTCCGAGGTTGGCCAAAATGTATAAATTCTTAGTGTTATAATAAGAGAATATTGTAAATAAATCAAGCGGAAGATGTAATGGAGTGAAATTCTTGAAAATCTGGAATAGACGTTTTGGCTAGCCTGATATCGTGGTTCTATGGGGTTACAAAAGTGTCGACGTTATGTCGACACTTGAGACAAGACATTCGGTTGCAGTTTTCGGTACAGCTGTCGATTCGATCGACGGGAGATCGCGTGGAGCTTTGGGAACGGTTGCAATTTTTTGATCTTCGAATGGACCAAGGGTTGGACACCCATGTTCTATGGTAAAGATGGACGCGATAGCAAAGGATACGTATCGGTACGCAGCCAGCCATATTCGATGGAGGAGCGGTGATATTATCGTTTAAAGAAATGTGTCCTCGTGTAAATATTCTCGAGTTGTTGTATATAAGTAGGCTTAGCGCGACGTGAACGTCGAGGAACAGGCCGAGTCCTCCGAGAGAACCTCCGTGAACCTCGGTCGAGACGTTCACGTGGATGTACGCGAATATGTTTGATGACAACGAAATTGTTCTTCTTCTTTTTCTATTTGAAATAAACGCATCGTTCTACTACACGCCTACGAGACCGTTTATTTGGGTGCATTGCCTCGCTTGCTGGGGGACCAAGATGGCGTCGCGAGTAGGGATGGTTTCAGATTTGGGAAACTACTTTTCGTTCGAACTTTTGATGTTGGGACGTTTCGAGTTGGAAGTTTTGGTATTCTAACTTCTGGTGTTCGAATTTTTGATTTTCAAACTTTTGATGTTCAAATTTTTAGTATTCAAACTTCTAGTGTTCAAATTTTCGGTAATCAAACATTAGATGTTCAAATTTTTTATTTTAAAACTTCTAATGTTCAAATTTTTGATTTTCAAACTTTCGATATTCAAATTTTTAGTATTCAAGCACTAGATGTTCAAATCTTTAATTTTAAAACTTTTGATGTTGAAATTTTTAGTATTCAAACTTCTAATGTTCAAACTTTCGTTAACTAAACATTAGAAGTTCAAATGTTTGATAATCGAACGTTTGACATTCAAACTTCTGCTGTTAATGTTCAGCATTCAAACTTTTCACATCAAACCCTATCCAAAACTTGAAAAACGAAACGAAAGAAAGACACTGGACATCAGGGTACTTACAACGAACTCGAACCCATCTCTAGTCGCGGGAATAGTTCATCGGTTCTCCGACCGCTCCACCACTCACATTTCCTTCATTTCTCCTTTTTATTTGTTTCCCTCGTATTCTGACTTTACAATATCGTTCCGTTCGTCGGCAAAGTGGAAACGGATTGAAATCAAGATTCGGGACCATCGATATCGGTGTGTCGCGACACAGTTTGAACGGTTGAACAGAATATCATGAAATCAAATGAAACCGCATATATATATATAATTACAAGTGAACAATCGATCGATGAGAATGTACCACGTGTGCATCGTTCGAATGATAAATTTCCCTTTTCTCCTCTCCTCTTTTCGAGCCGTACACCTATACAACATACATAATATACGTTACGCAATTTTCGGATTCGTTACATTTCGTCCTGACAAACATCGATAAATTTCCTTTTCTTTCCTCGTTTCTCCATTTCATTTTTCCCTTTCTCTCTTTCTTATATCGCAATACGGCGCACAACTTGTGTTCTGTGTGTCTCCATATGTATGCACGGTATGCAC